GGTCGGGTCGTTACAAAAAATGCGCATTTTTTTTGTAACAACCCAACCCCGTGCCGGAATCGTCATGATATCATACGTATTGTCCGTTTTGGGAGGGCATATGCCCACTTATCACTCACGGATTTCTATCGCGTCCTCAGGATTCGAACCCAAGACCTCCTTCATATGTGAGACTTAAGTTGAATCTTGGTACCAATTGGGCGAAAGCTTAAAAAGATTTGATAGGTACTACTTATACAGACAAGGTGCACCTTCTTTTCCGGAAGTCCATCGTTGTGCTTGGCTTGGAGCAATTCTATGATGGGTGACCCCTGGGAAGTTTTCTTGGGGAGCATGCGAGTGAGGAAAAAGCATGCTGAAAAAACTCATGTTGGTACGTTGAGATAGTATGTCGTCGATCTAACGGTCGGGACAACCCGTTAAGTGGGACCCGAGTCGTTACAGACAATAAAAATAACAATTGAGTTAATCTCAATATCTCTTGGAAATTTGGAATAAGATCATGACAGATAAAGGTTACATGATCATAATAACAACAATACAATCACAACTATACAGAGATTCTGCCAATACTAAAAGATTCCAATAGTCCAATTCCTATTTAAGATTCCAAGAACTACAAAAATATGATATCCAAAAACTTAAAATTTTAAATCGATGAACTCAATATCTAAAACATGATTCCCCAATTATTTTCCACCTAAAAATTGAACCATTGTCTCTACCAATCTCTACTTGGTAAGTTTTCCACTTCATAGCATATTATCTTTATTTTGTATTAATTCTACTTCTCTTCTACTATCTAGCTTAATTTCAAAGAAACAATATTGAATTTTCCTGGGGCAAAGGCTTTTTCCCAAAATCTTTCTAGGATAGAGACAAATAAGCTTCTATCCAGTTTGTTTGCCAAAAAACAAACCTTATGGTACATCATTCAATTTTATTCCATTCTAATTCATACGGTGCACTTACATGACTAATATTAACTACAAAGTAAGTCATTTTTTTAAATTCGTGATTCTTTAGCAATCAAATAAAATGATCATATAATCCTCACATTTCTAAGTCTTAAGATTATGCTAATAAACAAAGTTGACGGAACCATAAATGACAAACATGAATACCAAGAAGCATATATCCAAGTTCTTCATACTCTTATTCATTCATGATATGAAACAAGATATGAAAACTCTGTTAAGTGCCACTAATATGAACAGTGACTTAACATATGTCCATACTTGACATCATTGGGATATGAGTCAAATAGAAACAAATAAGTAGCAAAAGCAGAAAAATAACTATTGTAATTTCTTCTTAAGTCAAAAAACAAGATTAAATATATACCAGAAGCATTATTTTGCTGATGTAGAACAGGTTTAAAGTAGTGTACAACAAACGAAATGAAAATTATGAGTAAGAATGCAATGAACTCACCAAGCTTTTGGCAGTTGTACATCCGATGAATCATATGTAACTTTCTGAATAAATAAAATATGATTTTTATGCTAGATGACTTTTTTGGTGTACTCAGTAAGATCGAAACCTTTAATAAACATCTCTTCCATCTACTTTCTAGCCTCTACAATCTGACCACGTTTGGCAAAACCATGCACTATTATATCATAAGTCAATCTATTTGGCTCATACCCTTTTTGATGTAATCTATCAAGGTACTGGCAAGCATAGTCCATTTCCTTCATGCTTAATCTTCTCAGAAGCATATTGTAAGTGTAGGTGTCTAGAGTGAAGGATTACTGAATCTGTTTTTCAACATCCTCCATATCTTAGTTTACTTCAATACAACCAGAACAAACACCAACCAGCTGGCCCAATTGCCAACCGACAG